AAGGGCTTTCTTCACCACGTTTGGTGTGCCCGAGGAGTTGTCAAGTGACGGAGGCCCGGAGTTCTCGGCAGGACACACAGCGGATTTCCTCCGCTTATGGCAGGTCAAGCACCGCGTGTCCTCGGTTGGGTTCCCTAATGGAAGGGTGGAGGTGGCTGTCAAAACGGCGAAGCACCTACTAGTCTCAAACACCGGCCCGACCGGGAGCCTCGACCATGACCGCTTTCTGCATGCGATGTTGCAACTGCATAATACGCCTGACCCCAACTGCGACTTGTCGCTCGCGCAAATCATCTTTGGTCGCCCCCTCAGGGACTCGCTGTCATTTGTTAATAGGCTGGAGAAGTTCACCAACCCTCACATCCATCCGCTCTGGCGTCAGGCATGGGCGGCGAAGGATGAGGCCCTCTGGACTCGGATGGCCTGTACCACTGAGCCTCTGAGAGAACACGTACGACCGCTCCGCCCTCTCGTAGTCGGGGAGGCGGTGTTCCTCCAGAACCTAGTTGGCTGTAGCCCGCGGGCATGGGACAGATCTGGGGTGGTAGTAGATTCACTAGGACACGACCAATACCGTGTCAGGGTCGATGGGTCTGGCCGCCTCACCCTGCGCAACCGGCGCTTTCTCCGCGCCTTCACCCCGGCCACCCCTCGCACTCACCCAGAGAGTGCTGTGCCCCTGCCTGCGTCCAATGACGAGACACACGACTTAGGTCCCACCAACCCGGGGTCAGCGGGACCCCTGCCAGATCAGTCACACACACCACCCGAGCCCCAAGGCACAAACCCCGGCACCGCTCAGCGGGTACCGAATCCTCCAGACGTAGCCAACGGGGATGCTGCCCCAGCGGCGCGGACCCCGGAACAGTGCCCATCACCCCCTTCCTCCCAGCCAGCGAGCTCCGGTAGGGTAAGGCAGCCACCCAAGCGGTATGTACCTGAAACTGGCCAGTGGGTTAGGTCATGAGTCCACTGCGCCGGTGTGTCACACGGCTTCCTGGACTGGGGGGGATGCAGAGGTCACCACTGGCCACTAGGCTGTGCTGCGATCAAGCCTCGAGGGAAAAAGGTGTATTCAGGGATGTGCCTGAAGTCACGTACAGGTGACTAATCCCCTGCAGGGACGTGCCTGAAGTCACGTACATGCTACTGTCCCTCACTATACATACTGCTGCCTCTCATTTGGATTGCTACTGCTCAACCATGCTGTCTATCTATGCTACTGTTCGACTTGTATCTGTAAGTCTTCACCTGCTTGTTAAGCTAATGTAATGGTAACATTGTCAGTTTGCATGCTAAGCTGCGCTGCATTTATTTACCTATTTTATCACATTGCTTAGCTTTGTTCTTCAGCCCATGCTGCTGCTTCAAGCTGCCGTTAGCTTCTGCTCACTCCTTTGTATGTCGCTGCAGGGCTCCTTCGTCCTTGTCATTAAAACCATTTGACATCGAGGAGTGCATTTCTTCAGAGGAAACGTTGGTTTAAGTACCTGATATGAAGTGGTCGCTACATAGGTGAAAACCTTTACTCTCGGGATCCCACAGCTTTATTTTAGCCCGGTCACTAGCGCTTTTTACTGCAATGATCCAACGTTTGCGGCGTTCTGGATCTTGAGGAATCCTGTAGATGGCTCATCCTTTATGTCGTCCGCGTCTGTTCTGGCATCCTGGGGCACAACAGGAATCTACCATATTTCCCATTTCAGTTTTCTGACAATAACAAATAACCCAGCGTGATTCTGCCTGCCAAGATGGCACTGTTTTGATTTGAACTGTTGCATAAAGGAAATCTCTTGTTTTTACAACAAACACGCTGCCATTAAAAACTGTAGTCAGCTGCCCTACTTTTCATACCAACTCGTTAAACTGGAAAACACTTTTCACACATAATTACAATTACAGTTCTTCACAGTTGTTTACTCACGTTTTTTGAAAGCATGCAACATATTTTTAGAACTCTACACACGAATCCAAAAACGCACGCACATTCTTCTCAAAATGGTCTTTGGTTTCCAAATGACACACAAACCATTACATGAGTAAACATTTATAAGAACCAGATTAACTCTGATGTGTAAAACATTATGACCACTTCTTCTCCAGTCATCATAATGACTTATTGTGTTCAGTGTTACACCTACTGTACTACAACAGTGCATTGTACATAAAATATTTCAGAATGTTTGTGTACAAAACTCACAAACACTTTACAAATTATACTTTAGTGTGTTTTAACACAAAAACAGCAGTGTTCATCCAAACCAACACAGAGTTGCCTATGCAGTGATCTACATATACAAACAGAAGACTATAATTAATAGTTAAGCTAAAACAAATAAAGAAAAAAATAAACAACTCTGTGCTGCATCCGCGCTTCTGTTTTTATCTGGCCACAGCGCCTCATCCACATCACAAGCAATGTGCTCCCTGGCCAAGCAGAGTAGAATTGAAAACGTGGATGTTCTCAGGCCAGGTCTGGACCGCCTATTGAGGGACACTGGTATAAAGCAAGAACATTTTTAAGGCAGATGTGACCACAAGTTAAAGATCTGAGTAAAATTATGGCATGGGTTATGAGTTTTCTCATTCCAGATGTCTTTTCAGCCCTCTTCCCAAGGATGTCCACCTGGAGCCGAACAGGGAAGACACGCCCACTGCTGACTGACTGGCTAACTCAAAAGCATGCCTACCATTACCAACTCCGGACTGGGCTCAAGATGGCGACCAGTGCGGAGGTGTTGTGAGGAGCTCCGTGACTGCGAGTTGTACCACGTTAACAAAGGCAAATAAACCATATATTACCGGCATTGTTGTTCAAGGAATCGTTTATGCAAAAGATAAGAGGAAGAAGAACTTGTTACTGAAAGGATACTCACCTCCACGTCGACTGTTTCTAGCTGGCTAGCTTACAGTACTTCTCAGCTCAAATTTTGAAATGGCAAAAAGAGGACAGAAAAATTCCAAAGAGGAAGCCTCTTTACTGCAGCGAGGTATGCAGGACTTTGATGCTGCTTTCACTCCACTACCTGTTACACCCACAAAGAGCCCTCATACAAAAAAAGCAAAATCAGCTAACATCTCACCTGAAGGAACATCTAACGATGACATCTTGAAAGCCGTAATGGAACTATCTGGCCGCTTTGCAGCGCTAGAGCAAAAAAAATAACTAAAAATACAGAAGTCATCGCTAATGTCTGTGATCAGCTAAAAGCAGTTGAAATGCATGTACAGAAGAATGAAAACATGATTAAAGTGGTATCGGAGCAGTTGGTTAAGGAGCAGCAAAGAAGTGATGATGCCGAATGATACAGCTGACGCTGGAACCTGCGGCTGTATGGCAAGAAAGAAACACCGGGGGAAAACATCAGAGAGGAGATATTGAAGCTCTTCGTTGCGCTTGCACCAGAGGATAAGGAAAAATTGGGTTTCCTTGTTGATACTGTGCACAGGGTTGGTGTAGTCCGGGACAATTCCACTCGACCTGTCATTATTCAGTTCACTATGCGAGCTTTCAGAAACAAGATCTGGAAGGTATCCCGTGACAACAACACCCTTAAAGAGAAGAAACTGTTCCTGAAGGAAGATCTGGCACAGGCTGACCGGATGGAGCGAAATCGGTTGTGGCCGATAGTGGAGGAAGCTAGGAAGCAAGGAAAGCGTGCTGGCTTTAGAGGCCCTCATGTTTACATAGAAGGGGAAAAAAGTTACTCGCTAGATGTTGATTTAAAGCTGTGTAACGATGGATGCTGGTAAAATTATTTTCAGTTAATACTTGAAAAAGGTTTAAAAATGCGCATAAAGCAAATGGGTACTTGCAGTTAAGGTTAAAGGTTCGTAAGTACTATTCTTTTATTATTTTTCTTTTTTCTTCTCAGTGATTGTTATTGACATCAGCAATTTGTTCAAATATGACAAGTTTTAGTTTTAAGGCACTAAATATTTGTTCACTTAATGTTAGGGGTCAACGGGAAATCACAAAAGAAAGGCAATTTTCAGATTTTGTAGGAACTGCAATGCAGACTTCGTTTTTCTGCAAGAGACTCATTCATGCAAGGATGACGAAAAGTTTTGGAAGTCACAATGGAGGGATTCCATATTGTTTTCTCATGGCTCAAATCACTCTGCTGGCATGGCAATTCTGTTAAATAGATTTTGTGGTGATATACTGCAGTCTGTAATGTCAAATGAAGGTCGCTGGCCTATGTTGGCTGTGAAATTGGATAACCAACATTTTATTTTGGGAAATGTTTATGGCCCAAATAATTCATCTCATGCAAGAACTGTTTTTCAGGAATTTTCTTTAAAGTTGGATTTTTTGAAAGCAAAATACAATAACCCCATTTTAATTATTGGTGGTGACTTTAATGATGTTTCAGATGATATTGTGGACTGGCTTCCACCAAGGTTTACATCAATAAGTTTCAAACCTACTGAATTTTTGAGCGCAAATTACCATCTTACAGATGTGTGGAGATATATGAACCCTGACGCTACACAATATACGTGGTCCAATTCTAACAGGAGTTCCCAGTCACGAATAGATTTATGGTTAATGTCTACACATGGATTACGATATGTCACAGATGTTTCTCACTCACATGCCCCATTATCTGATCATAAATTAATAAGTCTTAGATTAAAAGGAGTTAAAGAACAACCAAGTATTAGGGGCTATTGGAAATTTAACAATGACCTTTTGGATGATAGAAAATTTAAGGAAAGTGTTTCTTTTTGGTTGAGAAAATTTTTAAGGAAAGAGAGATGAATCCAATTCAAAAGTGGGAGTTTTTCAAATATAAGGTTCGGGAAACAGCAATAAAACGTTGTAAAGTAATAAAGAATCAGAACACAAATAAAATGCAAAATTTAATTGTTAAATTAGAGCCCCTAATATCTAAGCAAGACTTGTCTGAAAGTGAATTAAGAGCTCTGTCCAATCTAAAAGATGAACTTGATAAAATGTATGTCCATTTAGCTAGAGGTGCATTCATAAGGTCTAGAGCTAAGTGGTTCGAGAAAGGAGAGAAAAATTCTAGTTACTTTTTTGCTCTAGAAAAAAGAAACAGGAAAAGAAACAACATTGTGGCTCTTAATATTAATGGTATAATAAACTCAGACCCTGCTTTGATTGCCAATTATACTACCTCATTTTACAGTGATTTGTATTCTACAAAATTTAATCAGACTAATTGTGACAGATTCTTAAATCATACTAGGATTACACCTCTGATATCGGAGGCCTTTAAAGACTCTTGTGACGCTGAGCTTTTATTTTCAGAAATTATAGATGCTTTGCATTCAATGAAGTTAGGAAAGTCACCTGGTAGCGACGGGCTCTCAGTAGACACTTTGTTTTTGGGAATTTATTGGTAGTCACCTTTTTCTGATGTTCAAAGAATGTATAAGTAGGCAAGAAATGACAACAACTATGAAACAAGGTCTTATAACTCTGCTCCCTAAGACAGACAAAGATCCATTAAAAATAGAAAATTGGAGACCTATCTCGCTTTTAAATATTGATTACAAAATTTTATCTTTGGTGTATGCGAAAAGACTAAAAAAGGATTTAGGTGAGATAAGTGAAAACCAGAACGGATCTCTTCCCAAACGTCACATTAGCTCTAATATTAGACTAGTGTTGGATCTAATCGATTATTCAAACTTTATAAACTCCAATGCTTTGATGATTTTCCTTGACTTTTTTAAGGCATTTGATTCGATTGAACACACCTTCATTTTACAAGTGTCATAGTTCTGCCTTCTCTCTGCTTCTGCTGCTATTTTCCCTTCATTGTTTGCAGGTGAGCGTGTTGGGAGCAGCAGCAGCAGCTGCAGCTAATTACCATCAGCCTGGCCAGAGGATTTAAGGAGCGGTGCTGCCACTCCTCAACGCTGGTTGATACTCTTCTGTTGGGTACATCTAGCCACGTACTTATCTGTGCCTTGACTTTAAGACTCGTTTACCTGAACTAACCCAGCTCTGCATTCTTGTCTGTACCAGCCCTGGATTCCCTCCACCTGCCTGAGGTGTGATTTATCACAGCGTCGTTCAGCTTCCCTGGCCTCCTGCTCTCCACCGCTCACCTGCCTTCCTGGATCCAGCATCTCCTCCAGTGACCATCTCCTCCCTGCATCAACTTGACTTGCCTCTCCCTCCTGCCCCTCGTCCTGCTCAACTCAGTAAGCCCGTTCCCCTCATGATTATTTATCTCCTTGTTCTCAGTTTCTAATCACACTCACCGTTCTTCTTAGAGTGGGAGTTGCCTCGTTTCCTGTCCCATTTGGATCAGCGCCCTCAGTTTTCGCTTTGTTTTCTTTATAAAATAAAGATTTTATTATCATCTCTTACCTTATCCCTGAGTGATTCTTCACGTGGGTTAAGAAATTACCACCCATCATGACAGAATCAACCGGCCAAACTACCGATCCCATGACAGAATCACTTCCTCTGGCGTTAGTTTCCACATTAACCCAGCACAAAAGATCCATGCAGTCCATGCTCGAACAGTTAACTATCACCAATCAACGGTTACTACAACTCGACGCCGAAAACCACCAGCTGCGGGCTCAACTCAGTGCTACAGCCTCATCCAATCCCTCCGCTCCACCCGCTCCGTCACTTCCGGTTCCACCATCACCAGGTCATTTCCGGGTCGCAGATTCTCCTACACCAGACACCTTCTCAGGTGAGCCCGGCAAATGTCGGAGTTTTTTGTTATGTAAATTAGCGTTCGAACGATCTCCTGACACTTTTTCAAGCAATCCGGTAAAGATTTAGTTTATTGTAGGACTATTACGTGGGAAGGCATTGCTATGGGCCGAGGCTAGGAGTCGCCAGCCTGGATTTTTACTCGGTCCTCTCCCTGAGTTTCTGTCTGAATTCACACAAATTTTCGACACTCCTGACAACCCTGCGGAAATGGCTAAGCAGATCTGGAACTTACGTCAGGGGAGATTATCTGTACTAGACTTTGCCATTGAATTTAGAACTTTAGCATCCATTTCCACACTTGATGACGCGTCGCTCCGAGCCGCCTTTTCTCAGGCCCTATCAGAAGATCTTCAGGATCAGTTAGCCTTCTGCCCAGATTCTGAGAGTCTAATCTCCCTTGCCTCTCGCATCGAAAAACGCCTCAAGAACCGGCGTAGGAGTTCCCGACAGCTGCCTCCCGTCACTGCCCCTGAGATGCACACCGCGACCCCTACACCACCACTGTCGCAGACAGAACCTATGCAGCTGGGCAGGGCTCAGCTAACTCCTGAGGAGAAACTGAGGCGGAGGACTGCTGGTCTCTGTCTCTATTGTGGTCAAGCAGTTCATATGATCTCACACTGCCCTGTTCGGCCAAAAGATCGCACCCACCAGTAGGTCCAGGGTTACTGGTGGGTGGCATTGCTAACCCAAGACCCCTGTGCTCCATGAACTGTGTGGTCTCCTTTAATCACAAAACCTTCTCTGCAGTTGCCTTGGTGGATTCTGGGTGCGAACGCAACATACTGGACCAGGTTGTGGTGCAACAACTGGAGATTCCCACAGTTCTTTCTACGCCCCTCCGTGCGTCCTCCCTGGACGGTCGTTCCCTGACTACCATCACCCACCAGACGGTTCCCATAAACCTACTGGTATCCGGTAACCACCATGAGGTAATCTCCTTCTTTGTGTTTCCATCCCCTCAGTCACCTGTTGTCCTGGGCCATGAGTGATTAACCACACATAATCCACAAATTGATTGGAGAACAGGGAGTATCTGTAACTGGAGCAGTTTTTGTTTGTCCCACTGTTTATCATCCGCCTCTATCCCTATACTCAACCCCAAGGCCAAGACCCCCGAGTCTCCTGACCTGTCCGGAGTACCTCCTGAATACCACTACCTCCGGCAGGTCTTCAGCAAGGACCACGCCTCGACGTTACCACCCCACAGACCCTTCGACATGCGCATCGATCTCATCCCAGATTCCAAACTACCCACCAGCAGGTTGTATAACTTGTCTAGACCAGAACATGAAGCCACGACTCAATACATTTCGGAATCCCTTGCTGCGGGCATAAGACCTTCCACTTCACCCCTGGGAGCGGAATTATTTTTTGTGTCCAAGAAGGATGGATCTCTACGTCCTTGCATTGACTACCGGGAATTAAACCACATAACCATCAAAAACAAGTACCCACTTCCCTTGCTCTCATCCACATTCGACCCAGTCAATGATGCCTCCATATTTACTAAACTCGACCTCCAAAATGCTTATCATCTAGTCCGAATCCGAGAGGGAGACAAATGGAAGACCGCCTTTAAGACCCCTCTCGGGTATTTTGAAAATCTTGGTCATGCCTCTTGGTCTAACCAATGCTCCCGCGGTCTTTCAGTCCCTGATTAACTCAGTTCTCAGCGATTACCTCAACAAATTTGTCACTGTTTATCTGGATGACATTCTCATCTTTTCCAGATCTCCCACGGAACACCGCCATCATGTCCAAGCAGTCCTCCAACGCCTCTTAGAGAATCGTCTTTTTGTCAAGGCAGAGAAGTGTGAATTTCACTCCTCGTCCGTCAAGTTTCTCGGCTTTGTTCTGGAGAGCGGAAAGTTGAAGGCAGATCCGGACAAGATCAGAGCTGTGGAGGAATGGCCCTCACCCACGACCAGAAAACAGCTGCAACGGTTCTTGGGCTTTGCCAATTTCTACCGCAGATTCATTAAGGACTACAGTACCATAGCCACCCCTCTCACACAACTCACCTCCATTAACAAGTCTTTTTCCTGGACTCCTGAGGCGGAAGAGGCCTTCCTGACATTGAAGAAGCATTTCACCCAGGCACCCATCCTCACCCGACCAGATCATCTCCTGCAATTCAGCCTGGAGGTGGATGCGTCTGACACCGGAGCAGGTGCTGTATTATCCCAGGTCTCCCCAGTCGATAAGACCCTGCATCCGTGTGCTTTCTTCTCTCGTCATCTGTCCCCAGCCGAGAAGAACTATGACGTAGGAGACCGGGAACTGCTGGCCATAAAACTGGCGCTGGAGGAGTGGCGGCACTGGCTTGAGGGGGCGGAACATCCCATCCTGATTTTGACGGATCATAAGAATCTAGCGTACCTGAGGGAGTCCAAGAGGCTTAATCCCAGCCAGTCCCGCTGGTCTCTGTTCTTTTCCCGCTTTAACTAACTCATTTCTTAAAGACCCGGAACCAAGAACACCAAACCTGACGCCCTATCACGCCTATACGCCCCGGACAGGGAGGTTGAGTCCACCACTATCCTTCCTCCATCCTGTATCCTTGGGTCTATTACTTGGGACATCTCCACCAAGGTTCTAGAGGCCCAGCAGACAGACCCTGACCCAGGTACGGGCCCCCCTAACTGAACCTATGTTCCCTCCTCTGTTCGCAGTAATTAAGTGGGCCCACACCTCCAGGTTTTCTATCCACCCTGGCGTGGGTAGAACTCTTGCCCTCATCCGTCGGACGTTTTGGTGGCCGTCTTCTACAGGGACACTAAGGAATTCATAGGCGCATGCCAGGTTTGTGCCCGAAACAAGTCGAGCAACCAGTCACCTCATGGTCTCCTCTGCCCCCTGCCTATTCCATCACGCCCCTGGTCCCACATGGCATTGGACTTTGTTACCGGGTTACCCATCTCCAGGGGTTTTAATACCATACTCACCATTGTTGACCGGTTCTCCAAATCCTGTCATCTTGTCCCTCTTAAACACCTCCCAACCTCTGCAGAGACCGCCAACCTCCTCATCTCTCAGGTTTTCCGTCTACATGGGATCCCCTTGGAGATTCTCTCGGACAAGGGTCCTCAATTCCTGTCTCGAGTATGGAAGGAGTTTGCCGCCCATCTGGGGGCTCGACCTGCTCTGAGTTCTGGCTTCCACCCACAAACCAACGGCCAGTGCGAGCGGATGAACCAGGAGCTGGAGGCCATGCTGAAATGTGTCTGCTCCAATAACCCGTCTGGATGGAGCGACCAATTGGCATGGATTGAGTATGCACACAACTCTCACGTCTCCTCCACCACAGGTCAGTCCCCATTCGAGATCTCTCTGGGTTATCAGCCACCTCTGTTCCCCTCTGACTCCGATTCCCCGGCTTCAGTTCCCCAGTTCATCCGTCGCGTTCGGCGCACCTGGAACCAGGCCAGAGCCGCTCTCCAACGGACCGCCGACCGCAACCGCCGGCTGGCTGACCGGCGCCGCCGTCCGGCCCCCGCCTACGCTCCTGGCCAGCAGGTATGGTTGTCAACCCATGACATTAAACTTAAAGGTGCCAATAGGAAGCTCTACCCCCGGTTCATCGGTCCCTACACCATCACTGAAGTCCTCAGTCCTGTTTCTGTGCGCCTGTCCCTGCCCTCGTCCATGAGGGTCCACCCGGTCTTCCATGTCTCCTTGGTCAAGCCCTTTGTGTCCAGTCCTCTGTGCCCTCCTGCTGAGCCTCCTCCTCCTGTCCGGCTCTCTGACGGCAGTCTCGGCTACCGGGTCCGGCGCATCCTGGATGTTCGCCCCCGGGGTCGCGATCGTCAATACCTTGTGGATTGGGAGGGATACGGTCCGGAGCATCGTCAGTGGGTTCCTGCTTCGTGGATTGATGACATCTCTCTCATCAGGGATTTTGAGTCCTCCTCCTCGGCTGGGCCACCGGGTGGTGTCCCTTGGGGGGGGGGGGGGGGGGGGGGGGTATTGTCATGGTTCTGCCTTCTCTCTGCTTCTGCTGCTATTTTCCCTTCATTGTTTGCAGGTGAGCGTGTTGGGGAGCAGCAGCAGCAGCTGCAGCCAATTACCATCAGCCTGGCCAGAGGATTTAAGGAGCGGTGCTGCCACACCTCAGCGCCGGTTGATACTCTACTCTTTGGTAAATCTAGCCACGTACTTATCTGTGCCTTGACTTTAAGACTTGTTTACCTGAACTAACCCAGCTCTGCATTCTTGTCTGTACCAGCCCTGGATTCCCTCCACCTGCCTGAGGTGTGATTTTATCACAGCGTCGTTCAGCTTCCCTGGCCTCCTGCTCTCCACCGCTTACCTGCCTTCCTGGATCCAGCATCTCCTCCAGCGACCATCTCCTCCCTGCACCAACCTGACTTGCCTCTCCCTCCTGCCCCTCGTCCTGCTCAACTCAGTAAGCCCGTTCCCCTCATGATTATTCATCTCCTGGTTCTCAGTTTCTAATCACTCTCACCGTTCTTAGAGTCGGAGTTGCCTCGTTTCCTGTCCTGTTTGGATCAGCACCCTCAGTTTTCGCTTTGTTTTTTCTTTATAAAATAAAGATTTTATTATCATCTCTTACCTTATCCCTGAGTGATTCTTCATGTGGGTTAAGAAATTACCACCCATCATGACAACAAGCACTTCAAATTTTAGGGTTCGGAGAGTCGTTTATTAGTGTTATTGAAATGCTTTATAAAGATATAAACAACTCAATTATTTTATATCCACAGATGTCTGGGAGGTTTCTAACATTAAGAGGTGTACGACAGGGCTGCCCAATTTCTTTGTTTCTGATTGCCGCTGAACTTTTGTTTTTAAATATTTCACACAATCCAAATATTCATGGCTTAGAAATTTTTAATAAAGAAGCTAAGATGTCCCAATTGGCAGATGACAGCCTTGTTTCTTAGAGATAAATCACAGATACCAAATGCTCTACATGCAATACAGGAATTTTCAGAAGCTTCAGGACTGAAGCTAAATGTTAAAAGTGAAATTTTATATGAAACCAAGACCAATATATGTTCAATATTCCCATCAAACAAACTGTTAGATATTTAGGAATTCACATAATAAAAGACAAAATGATGAGACATTAAATCTGCAATCAAGGATTAAAAAAAACTCTTGATTCTTAATATGTGGCTGCAAAGGGATCTCTCTATTTTTGGCAGGGTGTTAACAAAAGCGGAAGGCATATCAAGGTTAGTATATCCCGCTCTCTCCCTTGTTAATGATGCAACTTGTAAAGAAATTAACAGTTTATTTGTAAACTTTGTCTGGAAGAACAGGTATCATCTAAAAAAAGACATACTCTATCTGGAAAGAGCAAGGGGGGCTTAGAACTCTTAAATTTTTTCCACTTAAACAACACCTTCAAAGTCAAATGGATTAAAAAATGTCTAGAAATGCCAGAATCTTTATGGAATTTTATTCCACACGACATATTTAAAATGGTAAGGGGTTTAAATTTTGTTACGTTGCAACTTTATTATTTCTAAATTACCAGTGAAACTTTCAATGTTTCACCAGCAGGCTTTACTTGCGTGGAAATTATGCCATACACATAATTTCTCCCCACACAAAGAAATATTATGGAATAATGGTAATATTATTACCATAAACAACAAAAGCTTACACAAAATGAATTGGGTTGAGAAAGGCATCATTTTTGCAGCAGATTTATTTGATAATGGAAGCCTTTATAGCTATGAACTTTTTGAAAACTAAGGATTTTCCAGTGAAATACAGAGAATTTGCCTCGGTCATGAGAGCCATTTCCCCAGGCATAGTTGTGTTAATGAGACCACACTCTGTTTATCAGAGATTTAGTTTGCAGATGTCTTCTCTAAAAGTTGGGGGTATTGATTTATTAGACAAGAAATGTTCAAATCAGCATATAAGGAAGGTTTTATGTTGTTCTGATACAGTGGCACCCAAAGGAATTTTTTTCATGGAACACAGTTTGATATAAATTGGAAGAAAGCATGGATGGTTCACTTTCAATAAATTGGAAGAAAGCATGGATGGTTCACTTTCAATACTGTATTTCAAACAAGATAAGGGAACTTAATTTCAAAATTTTACACAATATTTATCCATGTAACAAAAAATTATCATTGTTCAAGGATCTGGATGAGAAATGTACCTTTTGTCATATGTTTCAGACTATCATACACTTATTTTATAATTGTCTCTCATCTGGATTTTGGAAAGATATGGAAAATTTTATTAAGATTAAATCCAAACACACTATCCAAATCAGATCTAAGGATGTTATTATCAAGTTTGAATGTAATGATAAAAGGCTAAGTTTTATAATTAATCTAATGCTTCTTTTAGGGAAATGTCATATACATAAAGCGAGGGTCTCCAAATTTCTCCCTAACTTTTGCGTTTTCTTAAATGACTTCCATTCATATGTTAAAACCATAAAGTTAATTGTAAATAAGAAGGCAGAACTCACTTTAATAAGTCTTCGATGTTTATTTCTGATTGACCCTGTATAACAAAAACAATAAAAAAAGTACCTTTTGGAAGGTTGTATTATCTGTTATGTGCCTCTTGTCGATTTAATGAGCTGATGTCTGTTCGTGTGTATATTTGATGTATGTTTGTTAGTGTGACTATGTATTTGTGACAAAAACAAATAAAGTTTGTTAAAAAAATAAAATAAAAAAACATTACCAACTCCAAATGGCAGCAAGAATCAGCCTGCAATTCATTATCGTTGATGCTGTGGAGTTAACAAGCCTCTTACAAAGCTGTTTTTTTTTCTGTCCCTCACTGCTGTGACACACACACACACACACATTCTGCCAGACCCAGCAAAGCAGGATGCAATATGAAAGTCAGTCTCCATAAGCAAGACTACTTGGGCTGCTTTTGTTTAATAATGGACACTGCGGACTTCTCTGCTCTTTTGCCCCGCCTGTGTATGCTTGTGACATCACAGAACACCCGTGTCCTAAATCACGTGCGCATGAGCTCAATCCCATTCACATTGCTAAGGCAAGCTACAAATGGCTAATCTACAAAATGTGATGTTGTCAGCTAATTACTTTTCAGAAGGGTTTTTCTAACAAGAAATGTGGGTGAAATAAGTCTCCACCCATGCCTTGAGGACTTTAAGGCATCTATGATATGTTGCCAAACATATTTTAATGAATACAATCTCAAGTGTGAATTTTCAAATCAGAAGGTAAAGAAAATGCCTTAATGAATCTCATAGAAGATTAAATCACTTCTCACCTGTGTGAGTTCTCATGTGTGTAGTTAATTCACTACTGGTTCTAAAACATTTACCACAACTTTTACATGAATATGGCTTCTCACCTGTGTGAGTTCTCATGTGTGTAGTCAAGTGATCACTTTTAGTAAAACATTTACCACAAGTTTTACATGGATAAGGCTTCTGACCTGTGTGAGTTCTCATGTGTGTAGTTAATTCACCACTGGTTCTAAAACATTTACCACAACTTTTACATGAATATGGCTTCTCACCTGTGTGAGTTCTCATGTGTGTAGTCAAGTGATCACTTTTAGTAAAACATTTACCACAAGTTTTACATGGATATGGCTTCTCACCTGTGTGAGTTCTCATGTGTGTAGACAAGTGATCACTTTTAGTAAAACATTTACCACAAGTTTTACATGGATATGGCTTCTCACCTGTGTGAGTTCTCATGTGTGTAGTCAAGTGATCACTTTTAGTAAAACATTTACCACAAGTTTTACATGGATATGGCTTCTCACCTGTGTGAGTTCCCATGTGTGTAGTCAAGTGATCACTTTTAGTAAAACATTTACCACAAGTTTTACATGGATATGGCTTCTGACCTGTGTGAGTTCTCATGTGTGTAGTTAATTCACCACTGGTTCTAAAACATTTACCACAAGTTTTACATGGATATGGCTTCTCACCTGTGTGAGTTCTCATGTGTGTAGTCAAGTGATCACTTTTAGTAAAACATTTACCACAAGTTTTACATGGATATGGCTTCTGACCTGTGTGAGTTCTCATGTGTGTAGTTAATTCACCACTGGTTCTAAAACATTTACCACAAGTTTTACATGAATATGGCTTCTCACCTGTGTGAGCTCTCATGTGTTTAGTTAATTCACTACTGGTTCTAAAACATTTACCACAAGTTTTACATGGATATGGCTTCTCACCTGTGTGAGTTCTCATGTGTGTAGTTAATTGACTACTGTTTCTAAAACATTTACCACAAGTTTTACATGAATATGGCTTCTCACCTGTGTGAGTTCTCATGTGTGTAGTTAATTGACTACTGTTTCTAAAACATTTACCACAAGTTTTACATGAATATGGCTTCTCACCTGTGTGAATTCTCATGTGTGTAGTCAAGTGATGACTTTTAGTAAAACATTTACCACAAGTTTTACATGAATATGGCTTCTCACCTGTGTGAGCTCTCATGTGTGTAGTCAAGAGATCACTTTTAGTAAAACATTTACCACAAGTTTTACATGAATATGGCTTGTCACCTGTGTGAGTTCTCATGTGTGTAGTCAAGTGATCACTTTTAATAAAACATTTCCCACAAGTTTTACATGAATATGGCTTCTCACCTGTGTGAGCTCTCATGTGTGTAGTTAATTCACTACTGGTTCTAAAACATTTACCACAAGTTTTACATGGATAAGGCTTCTGACCTGTGTGAGTTCTCATGTGAATATTTAAATCAGATTTGTGACTGAAAGATTTTCCACATAGCTTACAATAAAATGGTCTCTCACCACTGTGAGCCCCTTTGTGCTTTTTTTGTCTTTCACCACCTACACTGTCTCGGTGATCTTTGCTTCGCTGACGCCTTTTATTCAGTTTCAGTTCTTCATTGCCGTTTGATTCAGAGTTTTCTTTCCTGCATCCACCCTGATCTTGGTTCTCAGGATCTGTAGAACTCTGACACAATGGCTGGTTCCTGTTTGGTTCTGGTTCATGACAGTCTGTTTCTTCAGACAGAGAAGTATCCGTGGTAAGATTTTCCTGGTTCAGGAAGAGCTGTCCTTCATGTTGGCAAAGTTTTAGCTGTTCTGGTTCTTCCTGGTCTGAACAGGACATCGACTCCTGGTTAAAGAGCTGCTGGGCAGTCAAATCCTTCTCCTTTTCCCAGACATGATGCTGTGGAAGATCTAGACAGGATAAGAGAAAAAACAAAATGTTGATTAATTTGACAATAAAAAATTTTTTTTTAATCATCTAATGCATCTAAATATATTTGGGGAAATTAACGAGCTCTCAGATTAATTTTTATTTTGTGCAAGTAAAAACTAAACACTCAAAACATTTGTTTGTGGTGACAGACAACCTCGCTTCAAAGGAAAAACAAACAGCAGCTTAATAATCGTCTTAGTTCTTTACTGAAGTTTACAATGAGCGGAGTGGGAGCTGGCCATCTGTTTGGGGTCTGGGGTGATGAGTTGCTTTGCTCCGAGTTGGGTGGGGTGCCTGCTCATCATCACCTCAGCAGAACGGGGCTGATTCTGGCCATGGGATGGTTGTACCGTCTGTGCAGCAGTTCCAGGACCAGAGTGAATAGGGTGTGTATAGGGAGCATGAGTGGGTGTCTAGCGTTCATTTTTGTAAGTCTCCGGTTGTTTGTGTATGTGTGAGCATGAGGGACGGAGTGTGTGACTGTGTTTGTGTATGACTGTTAGAGAAAAAGAGAGGTTAAGTTGTCTGGTTGCCATGGGTGCGTAGATGGTATGTTTTTCTTATTTCTGTAAACAGCACTCTAAATGCTTCTTTGTTATCTCAGAATTTGGTATCTCAGAAAAGGATGCTCCAAAAATTCTCAACTCTTAAGGTGCTCGCTCGGGCCATGAGTCGGGGGTGAGACAAATGTTTGTGCAACTTTGTAACTATGCCCTTGTGTGAATAAAACTATGCTCTGAAGCTGAAAGATTTGGAGTCAGCTTGGAAACTCACACATGCAACTGCGTGTTCAGTCTGGCTCCTCTTTCTGCAGAAAGTGTAATCTGAAATACTCAACCGAATTTCCAGTCTGAGTTCTTTGGTCGATGTTAGTAAGCAAATTTACCTAAACAATGACTATGTATGTAAGGTGGGGTTTTGGACTCCTCCCTTCTCTTGGGTATTCTTGTGCTGCTACACATCTTCGCCTGCCCTCCCCCTGCCACATTTGCTGCCGAGTGTGGAGCCTCGGTCTGCCTGCGTGTTCGTGGCTCCCAGTGTCAGGGGCCTTAAGATTTTTGGCATCTGTCTTTGCTCCCAGTGGCTGCCTGGGCTAAGATGGGTCACCGGCGGGGTTGGTTTGCACCTAGGTCCCGGGGCGCTTGGTCCTAGGCTCAGTCGACTTAAGAGGTGGGGGGCTCTGGGCGGGCCTGGGGGCTTGCCGTTGTTATCTCCTGGGACTCTGTAGGCTGCTGCTTGTGACCCCCGGGGCAGTCCTCTGCATCCCTTGAGCAGGGTTGGGGTTCTCTGGTGACCGTCTCCCTGGGGTCCCTGCACGATGGGGCAGCTCCTGGATCTCTGGGGCTTGGAGCTCCCTCTATCTTCCGCACATCTTTGGGGGCAGAACTGTGGCCCCTCACACTCACTATTGGACACTCTTATACAGAAATCTTACACATACAAGTGCGTGTACGCAAACAGGTGCTCACATGTTCCAAGCCATCTTCCAAGATGGCGGCGCACACGGCTGCAGCGGCTTACGGCTCTCCGGCTCAGTACTCCCTTTTTTTGTTTAGCTTGCTTAGTTTGTATGTCTTTCTTATTTTTTTCTGCACCATCGGCTCTACTTTCAAAGTTTTCTACACCCGCCAGAGCTTCATAGACATTGGTGATAAGCATCAAACATCTGTTTCACTGGACTTCCTTCGCACGCACAACATCCCAGATCATATGGCGAGACCACCGGGCTCCCCGTGGATTGTTATCGGGACTAAGCGGAGGCGCAGACGGAGGGAAAGGAAGCAAAAGTGGGGCTGCAGGTCCGGCATCATGCTGAGGCTAAAAAACAAACCACAAAAGTCACCTCTGCCAAGCCTCTATCTCTCCAACGCTAGATCCCTCGTGCAAAAAAACGGACTACCTGGAATTACAACTAGTGGGAAATCGCTATGTTCGTGACTGCTGTGCCTTGATCGTCTCTCGTCTCGTCTTCCTCCGCTTATCCGGGTCCGGGTCGCGGGGGCAGCATCCCAACTAGGGAGCTCCAGGCCGTCCTCTCCCCGGCCTTGTCCACCAGCTCCTCCGGCAGGACCCCAAGGCGTTCCCGGACCAGATTGGAGATGTAACTTCTCCAACGTGTCCTGGGTCGACCCGGGGGCCTTCTGCCGGCAGGACATGCCCGAAACACCTCCCCAGGGAGGCGTCCAGGAGGCATCCTGACCAGATGCCCAAACCACCTCAACTGGCTCCTTTCGATCCGGAGGAGCAGCGGTTCTACTCCGAGTCCCTCCCGAATGTCCGAGCTCCTCACCCTATCTCTAAGGCTGAGCCCGGCCACCCTACGGAGGAAACTCATTTCGGCCGCTTGTATCCGCGATCTCGTTCTTTCGGTCATTACCCAAAGCTCATGACCATAGGTGAGGATTGGGACGTAGATCGACCGGTAAATCGAGAGCCTGGCTTTCTGGCTCAGCTCCCTCTTCCCCACGACAGATCGGCTCAGCGTCCGCATCACTGCAGACGCCGAACCAATCCGCCTGTCGATCTCCCGATCCCTCCTACCCTCACTCGTGAACAAGACCCCGAGATACTTAAACTCCTCCACTTGAGGTAGGACCTCTCCCCCGACCCGGAGGTGGCAAGCCACCCTTTTCCGGTCGAGAACCATGGTCTCAGATTTGGAGGTGCTGATCCTCATCCCAGCCGCTTCACATTCGGCCGCGAACCTACCCAGCAAGAGCTGAAGGTCAGAGCTGGATGAAGCTAGGAGGACCACATCATCCGCAAAAAGCAGAGACGAGATTCTCCTGCCACCAAACTCGACACACTCCACACCACGGCTGCGTCTAGAAATTCTGTCCATAAATGTGATGAACAGAACCGGTGACAAAGGGCAGCCCTGGCGGAGTCCAACCCTCACTGGGAACAGGTCCGACTTACTACCGGCTATGCGGACCAAACTCACGCTCCTCTGGTAAAGGGACTGAATGGCCCTTAACAGAAAGCCACCCACCCCATACTCCTGGAGCGTCCCCCACAGGGTGCCCCTGGGGACACGGTCATAAGCCTTCTCCAAATCCACAAAGCACATGTGGATTGGTTGGGCAAACTCCCATGCCCCCTCCATCACCCTTGCAAGGGTATAGAGCTGGTCCACAGTTCCACGGCCAGGACGAAAACCACATTGCTCCTCCTCTATCTGAGATTCAACTATCGATCGGACCCTCCTCTCCAGTACCTTGGAGTAGACCTTTCCAGGGAGGCTGAGGAGTGTGATCCCCCTATAGTTGGAACACACCCTCAGGTCACCCTTCTTAAAGATGGGGACCACCACCCCGGTCTGCCACTCCCTAGGAACTGCCCCCGATGACCACGCAATGTTGTAGAGACGTGTCAACCATGACAGCCCTACAACATCCATAGCCTTGAGATACCCAGGACGAACCTCATCCGCCCCCGGGGCTCCGCCGCTGTGTAGTTGTTTGACTACCTCAGCAACTTCCGCCCCCGAGATCGGACAGTCCATCCCCAGGCCTCCCAGCTCTGGTTCCTCCTCGGAATGCGCATTGGTGGGATTGAGGAGCTCCTCAAAGTATTCCTTCCACCGTCCGACTATAGCCTCAGTTGACGTCAGCAGCTCCCCATCCCCACTGTAAACAGTGTGAGCCAGTTGCTGCCTTCCTCTCCTGAGGCGCCGGACAGTTTGCCAGAACCTCTTTGGAGCCGATCGATAGTCTTTCTCCATGGCCTCACCAAACTCCTCCCACGCCCGAGATTTTGCCTCGGCAACTGCCACTGCTGCACCCCGCTTGGCTATCCGGTACCTGTCTGCTGCCTCCGGAGACCCACAGACCAGCCACGCCCTGTAGGCCTCCTTCTTCAGCCTGACGGCTCCCCGAACCTCTGGTGTCCACCAGCGGGTACGGGGGTTGCCACCACGACTGGCACCGGCCACCTTACGACCACAGCTAGCAACAGCCGCCTCGACAATCGCAGAGTGGAACAAGGCCCACTCGGACTCAATGTCCCCCACTGCTCTCGGGACGTGGTCAAAGCTCTGCCGGAGGTGGGAGTTGAAGACCGTCTTGACAGGTTCTTCTGCCAGGCGTTCCCAGCAGACCCTCACTATGCGTTTGGGTCTGCCAGGTCTACGCGGCATGTTCCCTTGCCATCTGATCCAACTCACCACCAGGTGGTGATCAGTTGACAGCTCCGCCCCTCTCTTCACTCGGGTGTCCAAAACATACGGTCGCAGGTCAGATGATACGACTACAAAATCTATCATCGACCTGTGACCTAGGCTGCCCTGGTACCAAGTGTACCGGTGGGCATCCTTATGTTCGAACATGGTGTTCGTTATGGCCAAACTGCGGCTTGCACAGAAGTCCAATAACAAAACACCGCTCGAGTTCTGATCAGGTGGGCCGTTCCTCCCAATCACACCCCTCCAGGTCAAGCTGTCATTGCCCACGTGAGCATTGAAGTCCCCCAGCAGGACAATGGAGTCCCCTGATGGAGCACTATCTAGTACTCGTCCCAGGGACTCCAAAAAGGGTGGGTACTCTGAACTGATATTTGGCCCATACGCACAAACAACAGTCAGGACCCGTTCCCCGACCCGAAGGCGCAAGGAAGCTACCCTCTTGTCCCCCGGGGTAAACCCCAACACACAGGCAGAGAGTCTCGGGGCTAACAAAAAGCCAACCCCAGCCCTCCGCCTCTCACCCGGAGCAACTCCAGCAAAGTAGAGTGTCCAACCCCTCTCCAGGTCTCGGGTTCCAGAGCCAATGCAATGTGTCGAGGTGAGTCCGACTATATCTAGCCGGTACCGCTCAACCTCTGCCACAAGCTCCGGCTCCTTCCCCGCCAGCGAGGTGACGTTCCATGTCCCAAAAACTAGTTTCCTTGTCCGGGGATTGGACCGCCAAGGCTCCCGCCTTGGTCTGCCACCCGATTCACATTGCACCGGACCCTTCATGTTCCTCCTGCGGGTGGTGGG